TGTGTGTGTGTGTGTGTGCGTGCGTGTGTGTGTGTGTGTGTGTGTGTGTGTGTGTGTCCATCTTTAACCTTGTTGATATGGACGTGTCGCTTCCCGTCTGGTTTCAGGAGATCCTTCTGCCTCAGAGGAGAGCATTCACATGGTTCCTTTCCAGTTTGATCTCATCCAGCTTCTGCCCAAATGCCAGCAGGTGGAGCTCTTCTTCCTCACATTCGGCACAGGTATCATTTTGTTTTCTTTCACTGAAACATGTAAAGCAAAGGTGTCAAAATTGTACTTTTGTACTTGATATAAATCATCCCTACTGACCAGTTTGGACCCCGTGGCGGACTGGTTCTGTTGAGATTCTAAAACAGTTGCATTATCCAAATACTGTATGTGGTAAAGATTTTAAATGTTTTCTACCCTGGGCAAACACCGCCTCTTGTGTGTCTCCAGAGGCGGAGCTGGAGGAGCACCTCTGTAGCGGCCCGTGCCTTCCCAACGAGCTGCTCCTGGGCCTCTTCCACAGCAGCCTGGAACAGGAACTGAGCGACCGCGAGATTCCCGTAGCCGTTGGCGACCACGCCGCCTTCATGCGCCACGTCCTTGAGCGCGAGCGCAACGGCCACTGCGCTCCCTTCCCCCTGCCCGTCATCAAGGGTGAGTCCTTACCGGGTTGGCAGATCTCAAGAGCTTCATGTTTTTTTTTGTTTTGTTTTGTTTTTTCCAGCACAAGACTTCACAAGGCCTCTGGATAGAAAGGAAGTGATGTCAGCGTTTCACTTAACCGGCAGCAGTAAAGAGATGACAGAATCCACCAGCACGTTGCAGGTAATCCTGCTGCAAAACAAAAGTAGCCCACACAACTCTATTTATTTATTATGATTGTGAATGGTGTCGAATAATATAAAAAGCTAACCGTTATGGACACAGATTTAAATACTGGAAACTTGTTTAAAAAATGCAAACGAAAAAAGCACATTTTACTGTAATGTAAACATTTTTTATTTAAATTGCATTTAAAATTACATACATCTTGACATTATCCGAACCGCTTATGCTCCCGAGGGTTGCGGGCAAGCTGGAGCCTATCCCAGCTGTTCCAAATATATTTCATGAATGACAATATTAGGAAAATTATTATGCATTAATAAACTATAATAAAATGCGTTGCAAAATATTCTTTAAAAATTATAAAATAATAAAACTTAAGATAAAGATTGACTATCGTTAATATGTTACTTCCGTATTCTAAAATGCGCGGACTGTTAATTGCGTGTTTGACCGTCAGAGTTTGGCCAACGCCGACCTGGTTTATGATGAGCCTTCGCTGGCGGGGCAGAGCTGCTCGGTGCCCCAGTGGAGGTGTTACGCCAAGCACATCAGCTCCCAACAGATCCTGCTCACCTTCCTGCCAGCCACCTTCGCAGGTGCCACTTTTCCGTTCCCGCTCACTGACAAACTACCGCAACGTACAAACGTGTCTGCCTTTTTTCTGGACAGATGTCCTGATGCTGATGACCTCTGGGCTGGAGGCGGAGCATTTGAGTCACGTCAGCACGCAGGACGACGACACGCTGACGCCCGGCAAACAGTCACAGGCCGACTCACCGTCCGGATCCGCCGGCGGACCGTGCCGGTCCGAGTCCAGCCTGGGTCCAGCCTTCGAGATGAGGAGGAGTTCAAGCGGCGGGCCCCTGGACTCCACGTCGCCCGTTGTCTCGCCGTCCTTGGAGGAGGTGAGGGGACCTGCCAGGCCCACTGACGCCCTGCCGTCGGACGCGTGGGGTATCAGGATGTCCGAAAGCCAGCCCGGAACGCCCGGCTCGTGTCAGTCTACGGCAGGTGCAGGTAGGGGTTTCCCAGTCACATTCCAACACTCACATTTGTTTCTGATTAAAACAATCACACTTTTCCTCCCATCATTGCACAATGCGTGTGGTGTGCTGTGTGTTAATAGTGTGTATTACTACTGCACGTGTGTGTGTTGTAGATTTGGTTGACAAAGTTCACTTCTCTGAGCCGCAGCACTACGGTGCGCACGGCGGCAGCGGTGGCATCCTGGGCCGCCAGTTGTCCCAGCAGAGTTCTGGCACGCAGCTCAAATGTCCCGTCTATGTGTACAATTGCTGCCTGGAGCTGCTCAAGGAGCAGCTGGTACACCCCGCCGCCAGCCGACACCCCCGGGACGTCTTCTTCAGGTACATCTACACCGTTAACGTTTTTGCTTTATCCGCAAAATGGCTCTCGCGCTATTGTTTCGGTGATGAAAGCTCAAAACACTCATCAAACTTTGAGGTCACGCGCATTTGCTGGGTTCGGTAAAACTGCTTGGCTATTTAACATCGCCCCTCGGATACAGTGATGAGTTCAATTCGTTAATAAAAAAAAAAAAAAAAAAAAAAACATTCCAAGCTGCCTCGTCTGGCTGTAAAAGACCCAAAATGTTCAGCTGTAATTATTGATTGTGTGTCTGTGGTTGTCTTGACGACTGAGTAGACCTCAAGAGGCTCAGTCTTGGCAGATGCCTGAGCAGATGAAGACCAGGTGAGAAGAGCTGCTTGTTTTTGTCAGCGCCAAGGGTGCTTTTACCAGCCTGCACGTTGCATCTTTGCATTAAAAAAACAAAACAAAAAGAGCATGTCGACTCACCCGTCACATCATTATCTACGGCTGGACAACCAATCGAACTGTGTCAAAAATGATGCCTACTTCCACTCCAGGCCTCTAGGTGGTAGCCTCGTGCAGTCAGAGTTAATGGGTCATTCCTTCGTGCCTCAGTGCATCACAATGGTTCTAGTTATTCCAACATTAAATGAGGACATTTTAAACCACAATTCCACGCGAAGTCCTTGGAAATTGTACGTTTTGAACCTCGTACCTGGTTTACAGATCCTGCTCCAAAGATTCTTCTTGGACCTCTCAAAACCTCCTCATCAATGTCTTCTTTCAACCCTGGGGAATTTCCCCCAAACTCATTTTAGACAGCAACCCAAACCCACAATGGGTGTCTTTGATCACATTTCCACCTAAAGTTCCGGGAAGTTTGACTTCTTAATCATAGTACTTGGTTGCAGATCCCACCCGAAATGTTCCTGGACCTCTCGAAAGCACGATCCCTTCAGCAGGCTCCTTTCGGTTTGGATAAATTACCTAGAAACTAAATATAGATGATAATTCCCATGGTCCTAACACCCAACGACCTTCCCAAGAGTTGAGGATGTTCCTTGTTGTGTGCTGTTGTGTGTTGTGTCAAGATTAACGCCGCGTTACACCATGGAGTGGACTGAGTGGAAATGCCGACTCACGACCCATCAGTTGTGAAATCGTAGAAGCGTCCCAGTCATTTGCCATCCCACTGTGTTCCGACAGGTCGCTTTCTCTGGACCGCAGCAGCCCTACGCCTTGGACGGACCTTCTGGCACAGCCTCACAAGCACAAGGAGCTGGCCCACTACTGCAGCTTGCTGCAGGAACACTACCAGCAGAGCTTCGCCAAAGGTGAACTGCCCAAACCACAAGTCTGTGTCTACTTTCTCAGTCAACCTGTTCGTGGAATTCCACCATAGTTCATGTGACACTCACTTCTGTCACACTTGTTACGTTAAAAGCACTTATTGCTAGCGGACAAAGGCCACCTCTTTTTGTAGAATCGCTGCGTGAAAGGGTCTCAAGGGACGGTCTGTCTCGTGTGTGGCATTCAGGTGTCTACCGGAGCCTCCAGCAATCGCTCAGCATCAGCTCCCAGGACGTCCTGATGGCCATGGACTACTGCGAGGAGTCCCTGCAGGAGATTGATATCACGGCCTTCCTGCAGACACTATGTGGACACATCCGGGTATTCCGGGAGAACGGCCAAGCTCCCACGTGGACTCGGCAGCCCAAAGCCGCCGGGAGGTTGGCCACCTTCATTGTCGGAGAGGCCGAGGAGGATCGAGCCGATGTCAAGTCTGCTGTGGCCTCCTCGTCCAGGTTTGTAGACAGACTCGTACAGTGCTTTTCTGCTATCTTGATACCTTTAGGGAATTGTGAACTTTTGTCGGGGGGCATCATTACACACGTTTGTGAGCACTTTCCATATGAACTGGACATCTCTGAAGGTTTTATGTGTGAAATAACAGTTTTGAGCTGGAAGACGCCAACGAAGCAGATTCCCGTGGTCCCGCCCCCCAGCCCCAGCTCGTCCAGGAGGTGTCCAGCAAGCTCCCAGCATTCCCCCTAGATTTGCTCCAGACGCATCCGGCTTGTGACCTGTGCCCAGACGTGCACAAAATAATTCAGGTGAAATATCGCGGCGAAGGAGTTGAGCGCATGACGAGCTGTTGTTTTGGCGACTCTGAATTGCTTCGACCTTCGCAGGAAAAGTTCATGGCAATCGTGTTCCAGTATTTCAAACCTGTGCCTTCCAATCCACATTACTTCTATTACTGCCCGCCGTCTTCCAAGAAGGAGGTGAGGAAGTCCGCGTTCATAGCCTCACTTTCTTGAAAACAGTCTATTTTCATCAGTAGACTCTGACATGTGATTGCTCCACACCATTAGATGCATTTGGGTTTATGGTCTAGGAAACTACGGCATTAGTGTTAGTGCTTTTCCCCCAGTAGACTCTGACAATGAGTAGTTCCACAATGTTGTGTGCATTTATGTTACGGGTGTTGCACTGTTTGGCTTCCCTAGGAGGACTCGGAGGACGGCGAATTGGAGGTGAGGCCCAACGAAGAGACGGTGTCCGAGGCCGAGCAAGCCACTGAGGATGGTGAGGTTCTTCCCAACACCTTTCTGTACTTCGTTTTGTTTGTCCCCTTTTTCGCATCCGACGGAAGATGGAGTCTGGCACCTTCAATTGTACAGAGATGAAAGTCCTCCGGGTTTTCCCGGAATTCCGGGTTTTTCAATTTTTTTATGAACATTTCTCCGGAGAATTGAGGAAAATTTGCATAATCCGGATATTTGTTGACAACATTGAACGAAGACGCGTTTGAGTTCGTTGTATTGCTTTCACGAGCGTAGCCATATTGAGGCACTAACACTAGTAACAGTAAAGAGATTTTTGTTTGTGTAATAACGACAGAAGACATGATGGCGTTTGACTAATGGTTTAGTAGAACGAATGGCAACTCGCAACAACAGTAGCAAGCGTCATTTTGCCTCTTGGGTTATACCATCTCAACTAGAACGTGGGGGACAGTCCCCAAACAATTTTCGTCTCTTTATAAACACACCCGCTAAACCCCAGTGGAACGAATAAAAGACGCCGTCAACAAGACAGTTGTCGTAAAATATATATTTGCCCAAAAAGGGAAAAACACAGATTGGCAGAAAATCGTGTCCGTCCGACATAGTGTCGTCTCAGCTAACTTAGCTTAACTGTTGTCGTGTGTGACGTCGGTTGCGTCAGCGCTGATTGGTTGAAATCAAAAGACGCGCTGGCGTACATGTTCGC